ACGTATACCATGATACGATTTGAATCATGACTGACTTTTTTTATTAGGAATTTGTCAAAAATTTGGGGGTTTAGTTGGCAAATTCTAGGGACCCCAAATTTATAATTATCCTTTTTCTATGTACACTAGTTTAGTGGAGAATATAATTGTGGTTATGTTATAATTATAATAATATGTTTATAAATTTTGAAATATTTTTAAAGCTGTTAAAAAATGCAATCACTTTACCTTTAAGCGAATTTTTTATTGCTGACCGGCGTTTTTTTATATAAACCAAACCTATTAAGTTTAATTCGTAACTTGGTATTTCTGAGGTGTTTCTTTAAATTATAGTTACTATATAGTAAATTAATTCAACCAAACTGTCATGGTTTGCAAACAAAACAATTTTAACAATTAACAACAAATAAAACATTTGTTATTTTTTAAGTGTAGTTAATTGTTTTGTAAAATGTATTTAGTATGGTAGCCGTTATCGACCGCAGGAGTCCTAAATAAGACTTTGAACATCCACCTTATTGTTTCTTGTGTCCATCCATGGATATCCTATGGACGTTCTTCTGGAACATCCTAAGGACATGGGAAAGCGTAAACTCCACGGACGTACATTCAAAGTCCATGGACGTATGTACTTAGTTTGGACCTTTAATGGACGTACAATGGACGTAGTGTGCAGTGTTACTGCCCAAAATCGGTATAAATTATTAAGACTAAATTCCACCGTTGCCGTGTTTTGTATTTAACAAATAAATTAAAAATCGCTAAATTAAATATTTTATTTAAAAGAAAATACAAACAATATTATTGCCAAAAATCGCTAAAAATTCATAGTATTCGGTATTTCGGTAGGTCCGTTGCCATTTCGGTACAAATACCGAAATTTCGGTAGGTTCGACAATACTGCTGGGAAATGAACAGGAAGTATACTTTAGCCATGATCTAACCACGGAGAACCAAAACCTATACAAACTGGCACGGGATCATAAAAAGCAAAACAACTATAAGTTTTTTTGGTTTTCAAAGGGAAATATATTTCTCAGAAAGACTGAAAACTCAAAAATAAAAAAAATTGAAGATGAAAGTGATTTAAACTTGTAAACAATGACGCTTTGCAGAAGAAGCTAATGATCTCTTATATTAATGCTCAAAGTGCAAGAAATAAATTTGACGATGTACGGTGCTACATAAAAAGCTGTGATAATGACATTCTAGTGCTAACCGAAACATGGTTTAATGAAAACGAAGTCAATTATTTTTCAATTAATGGATATAATGCTGTACATCCATGTAGAGAAAGAGGGGGTGGAGTGTCAATTTACGATGCAATGTGCTATAGTGTATGTGAAATCATAAACAGTACAGACAAATCATATAATTTTGTTAGTATTAACCTTACTAAATCTAACCTAAAAATATGTGCAATCTATCGTTCACCCTCACAAAACTCAAAGGAATTCTTTAACCACTTGGATAAAATTCTAAGGAAATATAAATCAGGCAAATCCATTATACAAAAAAAGTTTATATACAAAAGTGCTTTTTTAGTTCCACCCTTACTTCCTAAGAAGTCCCAGAAGCCAACTGAATGGCTTGAGCGGGTTAAGGGTAGGAACGGACCGCGGGCTTAAAGTTCCCTCCGAAGGACTATATTAGGTGATATGAATGAAAATCTCCTAAAGATTGATGACCTGCAAGTGGGTGAATATAAAAAACAATTCTATTAAATGGTTATAAAATAGACAATATTATTCACAAAAATCAAGCAACCAGGATATCAACAGACCCAATAACTAAACTTGATAAATGTTCCTTAATAGACCATGTCCTGTCCAATAAAGACATCATATGTAACATTAAAATTATCACAAATACAAACATAGGGTATCACAGAATACTGAAAATTGGGGTGAACAAGAGGGTAATTACTCAAAAACCAAAAATAAAAGTTAATCGTGCAGTGATGAATGAAAAAATACTTCAAAAAAAGTTCAAAAAAATGGTAAGTGCAACCCAGATACTATAACCAGAAATATAGAAAGGGTAATGACTGGATAACAACTGAATTTTTTAATCTAATTAAAGAACGAGAGAGACTGTTTATTAAATCAAAAAAAGAACCATTACAAAATTAATATCATGTATTCAAACATGTAAACAAAAAGCCACCAGATACTATAACCTGAAATATAGAAAGGGTAATGACTGGATAACAACTGCATTTCTTAATCTAATTAAAGAACAAAATAGACTGCGGCCATTTCAAGCGGATGGACGGGAAAAATCACAAAACTGTTTTTATAAAAAAAATTGTAGGTAATTTATTATATATTATTTGTGCTTGATAATAAAAATTATGTCGTGACTGTGTTTGTAGACCTAACAAAGGCGTTCGACGTAGTGGACCACAGGGTTTTGCTATCAAAACTAGAAAAAATGGGGATAAGAGGTAATGCACATTCATTTTTAAAAACATACCTTTTACAAAGGCAACAGTATACCTCTTTTGATGGCGTTTCGAGCGAACTGTGTTACATAAACTGTGGGGTACCACAGGGATCCGTATTAGGACCTCTGCTGTACTCCCTACAAGTACGCAACCTGGAGAGAGCAAAACTTCTAGCAAGATATTACACATTTGCTGATGACACCATACTGGTGTATAGTGGCAAAAACCTTGAATCCCTTTAACAGAATGTAAACTCTGATCTATGTCATTACCTTTCCTATCTAGTTTCAAACAAATTACAAATAAATGTCAAAAAAACAAACTACATGGTATTTCAACAAAAAAACACCAAACAATTAGAAATAAACTTGAAAAAAGGAGATAATGAAATAAAAAAAGTAAATTCAACAAAATATCTGGGTTTAATAATCGATGACAAATTAAGCTGGGTAAACCATATTGATAATATTGAAAAAAGCTATACCTATGATATCTGCTTTAAATATTAATTAAATAAATCTCAAAGGCTGCAAAATAAAATAATCAAAGTATTATTAAATATCAATGACAGAACTCCAACTGAAATGGTTTATCAAAAAACAGGCCTCTTAAAAATTCCACAGATCCTAAAAATTGAACAAGGTAAATTTATTTATAAGATAATTAATAATAAACATAAATGCAATACAGATTTAAAATTAGTTAATACTATTCATGATCACAATACGAGAAGTAATGAAAATCTTGCAATAATAAATACAAGAACAAACGTAGACCTAAATAAACCCATAATAAATTGCATAAAAACCTACAATAAGTTACCTGACCCAATAAAAAATAGTACTACTATAAACATATTTAAACGAAAAATAAAACATCTTGTTCACCCCAGTTGCCATGTAGAATAACTCCCACCTTTATTAGTTTTTTAGTCTCTGTAGGATTTAGAATTTAATGTTATTTAAATAAAATTGTTTTTTAAATGTGAAATTTCTGGTACCAGCATCATTGCTGCTTTGGAAAATTTATTCATGAAATATGTTATTGTTTTTTTTATATGTGATTTTTTTACAAGTATTTTATAAATATGATATGTTATTGTATAATACTGTATATATTATATCTTCCTGGATAAACGTTAAAAAAAGTTTGCGCGGCATAGGCGTTTGTGTAGTGACGCTTTTTTTTTACAAGTATTTTATAAATATGATATGTTATTGTATAATACTGTATATATTATATCTTCCTGAATAAACGTTTAAACAAAAAAAAAACATGAGAGGCGATTAGAGTTTGCACGGCATAGGCGTTTGTGTAGTGACGCTCACTTCAAAATTAATAGCCATGTCAATTCCATCTGAACGTTTCGAAAGATCGTTTACCCCTCTCCTTAAAAAAATGATAATCTCAAAAATCATTTTCAGCGTTTCAAAGTTATTGGGTATTAAATACCCGGAACCTGCTAATTTCCAAAAATTCTTTCCTCTTACTTCCTTTTTTATTTAAAAATTACTCCCAGATTTGAAATTTTAAATTCAATAAACTTATTTAAGGTTTGTAAGTGCCAGGGATTTTATACAAACAAATGACTTTTTGCGGGTGTTTGCATACTCGCGCACTGCGACTATAAATCCTCACCATTTCTTACAAAAACGTATTAGAGGGGTTTGTCTAACGCCGTCATATTACAGAAAAAATATTGCCCTTCTTTATCTCACAAGACTGTGTACTGTGGCTAGGCTTAGGACGCATAGAAAGGGTTGGCTGGCAGGCCGCAGTATGGCTGCTGTAGGGTATATACCAGGTTAAAATTTGTATTTAAAAAAAGTGTCAGTTGGCGTGATAGGTCGATATAAAATAGAATACCACGTTTCTCTAACAAATAATGGCTGCGATAGTCTAATTTTTGGATACGTGGAATTGCATTGACACCACCGATATGTATGCATTTTAACAAAATCAATTTTACTTGCCAACTCATATATTGCTCAAAATAAATACATAAATTAGGTAACCATGGACTTTAGTCATGAACTAACAATTTAATATGTATTACAGAATGACAAAAACCGTTTGTAGTATTTTAATACATATTAAATTTTTGGTTCATGACTACCTGATTTAATTATTTATTTTGTAGTTATAGCGGTTATGCGATAGTTCAACTATCGCATAACCGTTAATGGCAGTATGTTTTGAGCGTTAAATAACGAATGGACAATACAGCAACGGTAGAAATATCAAAATAGATTAATTAACAAAAATATTGATTCACCCAATTTGATCTGTCATTAGTCTAGAAGTACAATAAAAAATGATCACAAATTTGTTTTTCTCGTCCTTAAAAACTATACTGTAAACTTTTTTAGATTTTTTGTTTTTTAAATATAACAAATTACAATTACAAAATAATCCTGTATCTCGTTTCTTATTAACATTTTACTAAGGCATATTTGTGTTAATCGCCCTATATTGACCTCCTATTTCTACAGTATCTGTATTGTCCATTAGTTATGTATATTTTTCTAAAAATGTATGCTTTTTATAGACTTACCTCAACTTGAGTTACAATTTGAGATATATACATCCTATCTCTATTGGTTTGAATGCCATAAACTTGAGCCTTTAAATTGGAAGCAGCTACAATATAGTCCAAATGAAGTGAATTGTTTACATCAAATTCAAGTGGATCTGGACATCTTTTAGGACCAGACCAAAATAACTGACCAGTGCTTGTAAGTTGTGTTGGCGGAAAGTTAAACAAAAGTTGCTTTATTTGATTGCTATATTGTTCTTGCCAATGAAGTCTAGCCCAATGAATGCAATCTTCAAAAGATTTTGGGCGTTCATCAATCAAAGCTGCCTTAACAGACTGCAACGTGTCAAGCGGTTGAACGCCAGGTAGTTTTAGAGTGCGTTCAACAAATTCAGGATCTTTTAGATACAAAGATGCGTTTTCTGCATTTTGTTTAAAAAGTCCTTCAAACGTTTCTCTTGCCCACTGTAAAGTGTGTTCAATGGCATTAGGGAAATGCTTTAAAGTACATATGGGGATGCTTTTTTCTGGTGGGTCTTGAGAAGAACTATATGATTCAGTTAAGAAAGGTACAACCACTTGGGTATTTCCCTTAGTGCCCAAAGTACCAGATTCAAGTAAAGGTTTGCGATAATAAACACATCTACGATCCATATACATTCTTGCATCAACATTGTCCAATGCATTAGCAACACCGTCTAAACTTTCAAAAAACTTATCATCATACACATTTTCAGTGTCCACTCCAACTCTATTCTCATGAGCTGCAATGTTTACATCTGGGTTCATTTTTTTGATGACCTAGGAAGATAATAATATGAATGTTATAATTTTATCAATCCTTATTTGTTACAAAATTACAGTAGGTAATTACAAAGGATTATTCATTCTAAACAATTTATTTACCTTTGCTGCTGTAACAGATTTTGACTGTTGAACATCATGAGGTCTAAATAAAAATTGTCGGTTGAGATTTGATTTTTCAATAAGATCCATATCAGTGACAGTAATTTCTCCTCCTTGGGTTCCTAAACCAACCATTGCAAAATTTTTCAATAATTCACATCCAATTGCTCCAGCTCCGACTACGAAATACTTTAATTCACCTAAAACAAAATTATATTACCTTTCTACTTGTTTAACTATAAGGTATAGTCTATATATAAACTACCCTGCTTAAAATACCCCATAGAGACCCTGTTCAAACCGATAGATATTTGTATCGGAATGTATGGTGTTTCTATAGGGTGTATCAGTATGTATAGGAAATAGGGAATGCAATCTTGGTATACCAAGATCTCGATATAGCAAGATCTCGCACTAATTCTGCAAGATTAGTCTTGCACTAAAATCATCCGCGATCTCGCAAGATTTGCGAGATTAGGACGCAGCGCATTCCATATGTGTTTTGTGTTTTTTGAGTTATTATTTTCAGAATAATGTATAATATTTTCAATAAATAATTTTATAACTATATATGTTTATGTTTTTTGCTTCAATAGCTTGATGATTATTCGTAAGTACTATCATAAGGGCATATAATTTTTCCTTAAAAAAATTGAAAAAACACGTTGCTAAGTAATATTTTAACACCTGCACAAATGCATTTTGTTAAAAAATATTACTTAGCATTGTGTTTTTTCCATTTTTTTCACAGGAAAAATTAGATGCCCGAATGGTATTTGACAAGACTATTTCATGAGTAACAGTTAACAATTAAAATATCAGTGTAAGGCGATGCCAATGGGGCCAGCCATACGTTCTTATACTCATATTCATATTATTAACACTATGCAGGCCCGGCTCCAGACATTTTGGTACCCCGTGCAAAAATATTTTTGCCGCCCCTCATAGTTACCTACGTTTTAGTGCTCATTAATTAGGTACAATTTCTAAAAAAAAACTACTTAAATAATATCGTCCCCTTGATGCTACAATTGGATATCTGAAAAAACACATTTGTAAATAAAATATTCTAAAATTGGTATGTAAGTATTTAGTAGAACTGGATTCGTAAAATTTCGAGTTATCCAGTTGTAGCATTAAGGGGAAGATAAAATTCACAAAAAAGTTTAAAAAATTATTATTTAATAACAAATAAATAAAATATCATCGAATTCTAAAAAAACAGTAATATATTCTAATAATAATTATTTTATCTAACATTATAAAACTGTCCAGTAGTAAAAATAACAAAAATCTGTTTAAATTAAAATTAAATTGGAAATATCTAATTTAGAACCTATATCTATCCTGTATTGTATTGAATAACTTTTTGCCACCTTTCGATTTTTGCCGCCCTTCGAATTTTGCCGCCTCGTGCAGGGGCACGGCTGCACGTACCCTGGAGCCGGCCCTGACACTATGTATATTAGGGTGGCCCAAAAAAAAAGAATATTTTTTTTTACTCCTCTCTTATAAAAATATGTTAGTTTATCATGCTGTAAGAGCCCTGTCAAAATATCAGCTCAATTAAAAAAAAATTAGGGGTCGCTCAAGATTTTTTAAAATTTTCAAAATCGTCAAAAATTGAATTTTTGTTTTATTTTAATTTTTTTCTCGTCTCGATGTTATTTTTTTGGTTGAAAATAATAAAAATTCTGTTAATTTCAAATCAATATTTTGATTTCTACACAATTAACAGCTGGATTGCAAAGCGTAAACACGTCTGTAACGCGCGCAACATAAAAAGTTAACTAGTGCTAAAATGAGTGAAATTTCATTACCGGAAGATTCAGAGATGGATTGGGAAGCCCAGGGAAGACAAAAAAAAAGAAAACGTAAATCAAAAACCAAAGACATCCTAGCAGAACTCGGAATATCCTATAGTGAGTCTGAGAGAGAGAAAATTCTCGATATCATCGGTGTAAAACGAATAGATAATAAAAACGAGCCGTCAACTTCAAAAAAAACGCAACAAAAAACTACAAATCAACACGAAGCAAAAAACAACAACAAACCTCATAAAATTCAATATTCCGAAAGGATTAAAGAATTAATAAACAAAACATTTAAAAACCTATTTTATATAAATACTGAAATTGAATTAACAAGAATAGAAATGGCCGAAAGATGGTCAAACATTACAACCAACAAAGAAGATGTCATACTCAAAACAAAAAAAGGTTTTTTACTAAAATCAAACACTGACCAAAAAGAATTGGAAGAGAAATTAAACTCACTTATAACTAACAAAAATATAAAAAGTTTTAGAGAAACTACATCCACAATAATTAACAGCAACTCAAAACTTCCTGAACCCACCTATGCCGCAGTAATTTCATCTGTCGAAACATATTTTAATGACGAATTAATAAGTGAGCATTTAAAACAAAATAACATCAATCACAGATTCTGCAAAAGGATTATTGCAAGAGCGACAAACAAAACAACAATGATGATCAGAATTATAACTGGGTGTGCTACTTCCTTTGAAAAACTCATCAGCCAAGGTGTATTCTACAAAAACAGACACTACCCCGTGTTTCCCAGCCAACCTCCACCCCCCCTTCCAATACCCTGCTCAAAATGTGCAAAATACGATCACGTCACGGAAAAATGTCCCAATCAAACAAAATGCGACAAGTTTATTGAAAATCACCCCTCCGAAAAATGCGAAAAGAATCTGCCTCACAAATGTCTGGGATGCGGATCTGATGAACACAGAGCATGGTCAGTAAAATGCCCCAACCGCCCGAAAGGCGCAATAGAAGGTATTCCAAACACAAAAATTAAAACTCTCAATAAAACTTCAAGCGAAATAGACAAAAATATCACAAAAAAAACAGAATTCACAGTCCCTTAACAATACACGATCATATAATTCATACTTATATATACAAAATAAATAAGCCTAACCTTAAGGATCGGGAAGAATTACTTAAAAAACTTAAACAAAGATTCATTCAACTCTACCGAATAGAAACCACAGCTGCTTTCTGTGGAAATAGAAACAGCAGAAAATGTTCAAGTTCACGTCAGAAATTAAGTTACTCTACAACAATATTAACAGTTACAACAAAAGAAAGCACCTTCTTAACCACTATATTGAAAAAAACAACATAAATTGCGTGCTATTGGTAGAAACAAAACTACAACAAAATGCTAACATTACATACAGAAATTGGCACAAAATCCAAAAACATGGCAACCTTATCACGAACAAAGAAAGAGGAGGTAGTTTGATCTTGTCACATCCAGGCTTAAAAATGGGAAAAGCAAACCCCCCTAAAATTAACAACTTTTTAAATGAGGCAACACACTGCACTTTTCCATTTAAGGAAGAACCACTACACATTTTCCTTATTTACATTCACCCGACTTCAAAAATAGAAGAGACAATATTTACCAAAGCTTCACTATATAAATATTCAATAATTATAGGAGATTTTAACCTCAACAACTCTAAAAGAAAACAGCTAAGAAATTTTCTTAACAATTCTAACTTTACAAAATCAGAGACCCCTCCCACATTCCTACAAAACCTAAATCAAGATACGACCCCAGACCTAATATTGCACACAAAAAATTTAACAAATGTGCTATCCAAAGCCCAGCTCACGCCTGATATTGGTTCAGACCACCTAGCTTGCGTACTAAAAATTGATCTAAATTCACAAACAACAGAAAACTTAGAAACCAAGATTATATTCGACTATTTCCCTCGTCTTAATTTCCACCAATCACAAACGCGCAATTTTGAATTACAAATGGTTTCTAGGTGAAAAAACTGTGTGACAGCACCTGTCAGCAGTTTTTTCGAGTTTACCCGCGGCAAAACTTGACAGCTGTTGTCACCAAAAATTGCAATTTATATTTTAATTGTTAACTGTTACTCATGAAATAGTCTTGTCAAATACCATTCGGGCATCTAATTTTTCCTGTGAAAAAAATCGAAAAAACACAATGCTAAGTAATATTTTTTAACAAAAAGCATTCGTGCAGGTGCAAAAATCCTCCTCTTCGACTCGGATTTTTGTTGCCACCAGCACTCATGCTTTTTGTTAAAATATTACTTAGCAACGTGTTTTTTCGATTCTTTTCGGAAAAATTAAATGCCCTTATGATATTACTTACGAAAAATGCAACATTGAAGAAGTTAATAGAAATATAATAGAATTCATTGAAACAAATAACGATACTGTAACAAAACCACACATAACCAATTTTAACAACAAATTAGCAGAAGTAATTTTAAAAAACACTCCAACCAAAGCAGTCAAGTTTTATCTCCAAGAACTACCGCCATTTATAATAAGAAATATTAAACTTAAGAGACAAATGTACAGAGAATATCTGAAAAATCCGGACCCAAATTTCAAGAAAGATATAAACAAACTAAATAAAGATATACAAAAAATGGTCCATGAATACAGACTTAACAACTGGCTCAAAACTTGCAAAGAAATAAACAATAAAAGTGGAAAAAGTTTTTTTCAAGAACTAAAAAAACTGACAAAATATAAAAAAAGATCAGGAATACAAAACATTGAAGAAGGGAATTCCTTTTATGACACTGATGAAAAAAAAGCAAACGCATTCGCTGATTACTTCAAACAAATTTATGCTGCAAATAATAATGCAAATCATAATCAAACCCATATTATGGTTGAAGAGTGGTATAAAGAATTCCTTGAGGAAAATATGGAGGATGAAGAAACAGACATTGAAGAAGAATTGTACTACAATGTGCTACACAAAAACAAAAGCACTGCTCCAGGTAAGGACAAAATTACACAGAAAATAGTAAAAAATTTAGATCACAAAATACACGAACACATAATAAAAATTTACAAATTTTGTCTCAAGAGTGCATATTTTCCAAAAGAATGGAAAGACGGAGTTATAATTACAATTCCAAAACCTAATTCTGATCATAGCAAATTGAAGAACTACAGACCTATAACCCTTTTACCAGTTCTGGGAAAAAATTTCGAAAAAATCATCAAAAACAAAATTGAACATGCTATAGGCGAAAACATTCCCAGTTTTCAGTTTGGATTCAAAGCAAACACATCCACAACACACCCCATAACAATTATCCTATCCAACACACAGACAGCAAGACTTAAAGGTAAAAAAACAGCAGGCTTATTCTTAGATATAG